GGGACTACCTCAGGGGACACCTGCCCCCTGACCTTCCCCCGCCATCTCCCCTTTTCTCGCTGTCTCAGAACTTTAATTCAATGACCAAGTGCCAAAGTGGTGGAATCACGGATCGTTGGAGGAAGACCGGTTAATGGGAATAACATGAGGTTTCACAAAAACAAACTCTTTTCCTTAAGGCCATAACCGCTATGTGAATCCTATTCATTCTTCTCCAAGATAAGAAAGCTAGAAAGTATAGTCCATACGCATAAAGTTCTTTTTCTAAGACCTCAATCTCTGCCCTACCTAATCTCCTGGCTGAGCTTGTGATGAGAATAAAATAAAATAATGAACGTGAAAATGTTCTGGAAACACCAAAGGGCTCTACAAACACAGCATCTTATCTACTGGGACCCCAGGAGGAGGAAAAGAGGAAAGAAAGCAAAAGAGCAAAGCCACTTGAAAGGAAGGCCTGAGAAGCCCAGGGAGGCAGAAAAGGCTGGTAAGGACAGGGACCTGAAGAGGGGAAGGCAGCAGGGCCCTAAGCAGCTCTAGGCACCTCTGTGCAGGTACTCCTTCCCCAGGGCTTGATTTGGGGTCCCTCGGTACCAAGGAGCAAGCGCTCGTCACAGCCAACGAATCGCAAGACGTTGGCTAAAAAACAGAAAGAAGAGACACTCTCTCAAAGCTATACACACAAAAGGCACATTTGGAATCGAAAGGAATTCTCTTTCTAGAGACATAAAACACGTAGAATTGGCTCTAGAAGATGTAAGCCCTCATTCCCCCCCACCCCCCCAGTCTCAAGTGTTTTTCTCTTTTTAAGCTTTTCCTGGCTGAGATTGCTCCCTAATAGAAAACGTTTCTTCCAAATGAATGACCATCTGCTCCCCCTAGAATCGAAGGATTAGAGTAGTTTTGGAAACTCGGCACTCGGAACTCACACCTGCTGCAAATTCACAAATTCTCCCTCTGTGTTATCACAGCAGCAAAGGCTCCTTGAGTGGGCCTCACCCAGCTCCCCTGCCTGACTGATGAGATTTTTTTTTTTTTTAAGGGCTATTAGGAAAAATTTCACCAAGACTCTACACACCCAAGAAAGGGGATGGGGGCCGGGCTGGGTGGACGCTGATAAACCCCCGTGAGTTTGCAGTATCAGAGGGAAGTGAATACAGGGGAATAACCCTGCCTTACATCTGGGGTCCTCCGTGTTCTTACCAGCGAGGCAGCTGCTCTGCACACTGGACGCCCCCAAACGCCTCAAATACTAACAGCAGTCAGCTGGACCAAGCTGAGTGGGAGGGTCCAGGAAGGAGAAGAAAGACAGTGCTGTTTGCCACCAGCCGTGCACCCAAGCATGGCCAGCCCACGTGGAAGGGGGCTCTAAGGGAACTCAGGCCCTCCCCTCCCCCTCCCATCACACCAGGGCTGTCAGTGCCACAGTGTCACACATGGTCGCGCGCGCACACACACACCCCCTCGGGCCGCTCCTCAGAGGGTGTGGGTTTAGACAGCAAGGGGTGCGGGGGTATGGGGTGGGAAGAGCCTAAGGCTTAGAAATGACAGACCTGGATTTGGGGGTCCAGGCTCTGCTACTTCCTGACTACATGCCCTCCTGTAAAATTGGGATAATGCCCTGGGGTTGCTGTAAAGATGGAAGATAATGAACATAAAGGGGCTCATCACGTTACAAGGATGTGCTCTGGGGAGAGATTCTCACCAAGTCAGCCCTGGACACTGTATCAATCCTCCCAAGAACATCAACCTGCCCAATTCCCACCTCACAGGAAGAATTCTAAGTCGCCCACATCCCCATGTCTCCCAAAACGTGTCCCTAAAACCAGCCCATGACCAAGACTGACCCTCTCCATGCTCAGGTGCCACTACGGAGACCCCAGACTCGGACGTGGATCCCCAGGGACCATCCCAAGTGCTACCTGGTGGGTGTGTGTGGGGGGCAGTGTGACAGTGACAGTCTACCAAACGGGCGGAATTGCCAGAGGTTTTGTTTTTTTTTTTAACAATGAATCAGAAAAACTCTTCAATGCAATGAAATTTTAAAAGATTTATGCCTTCCTTAACATGGAAGTGTAAAGTGAAACAATGATCTCAGAGGGAGAAAAAATCCTTACATCCATCTTAAGAATTAGGAGTAAATGGTAAAGCACGACCCAACTTTATGCTACTTCAGAGTCTACAGCTGCTGCCCTTCCTCCTCAGCGGATAATTATCACCAGATAATTCCCCTTATCTCCTCTTCAGGTCCGATCAGCCACCCTTAGGAATTAGCTGAGGGAAGACAAAGCGGTGTCTGTTGACACAATCCTGTGCTTTGGGGATCCAGACCGCTCCCACATCTAGTGCGCAAGAGACACAGACCGACAGATAGAGCCCTCATTTTAAATTCCTAGTGACAGAAAAGTCTTCATAAGAATTAAGAATTCTCTGCACACAAGAATGGTATCACTACCTCACAAGCATCAGGACATGAGTTTTTTTTTTTTTGTTTTGTTTTTTTGCGGTATGCGGGCCTCTCACCTCTGTGGCCTCTCCCGTTGCGGAGCACAGGCTCCAGACGCGCAGGCTCAGCGGCCATGGCTCACGGGCCCAGCCGCTCCGCGGCATGTGGGATCTTCCTGGACCGGGGCATGAACCCGTGTCCCCTGCATCGGCAGGCGGACTCTCAACCACTGCACCACCAGGGAAGCCCAGGACACGAGCTTTGAATGGTTTTTCCGGAAGCATACTTTTACCTCCATCCCCCGGTGACAAGTTTCAAGGTGGTGGCTCAGCCGGGGGGCACAGGTGTGGCTTCCCCAATGTCTCAAGGTCCACCACTCCAGCCTCCCTAGTAGTATCCTTTAAACAACCAGCCTAACAACCCAAACAAAGAAAGCAAATCGGCCAGTGATTTCATAACATAAGAAACTGCACAGCATGGTGGACAGTGTGAAAAATGATGTGGTCCACTGTATCCTCACAAATGACCCCCGGGAAAGAGAGTAAAGCACATGGGCGTGAACACACATGCACATGCTTGCACACAGACCAACGATGCTCACTCACTTTTATATGGGAATTGCCTTCCGTGAAAGAAGGTGGAAATGTTCCTAGTAGTTGAGTAGTGTGCTAGTGACAGAAGGCACACACTCAAACACACACATATACACACTCTCTCTCTCTCTGTGTCTGTCTGTCTCTCTCTGTTGTTACAGGGACAGAGGCCGGTCCACAAAGGCCAGGTTTGGAGGCAGCTCAGCCACTTACCTGTCAGGCGACCACAGGAAAGTCAGGGAACTTCTTGCCTTGTTTATTCATTGGTAAAATGGGGACAGTGGTATTCATCTTGAAGGGATGTTGCAAGAATTAAACTAACATATGGAATGAACAGCCTTAACACAGTGCCTGACACACAGAAGGTTCTTTACGGCTTCAGGAAAGTGATTACTCAAAATGTCCACAAATCACACAGAAACCCTCTCTGCTCCCAGTTTCACAGCACGACACCCAAATTCACAGTCTGGAATCTAAGTCTCTCCATATATGCAAACGGAGCATCGTCTAAACCTTCCGGAAGCACACCCGTGCTAGGTCCCCACAGCCCATGGCGGCTGAGCGCCCAACGCCTCGCCGGGCTCAGAAGTTCTCCTCTTGTTGCAGGACTTCCCCATCGAACCCCTCGTTTCCCTGACGATTTCCCCTCAGTCTCAGAGCATATTCAGTCTCTCCCTTTGGCTTTTTCACTTTTGTCCTAAAACATGCCGAGTTTTCTAATTCTTCACCTGCTCAACTTCCTTTTTCCACCAAAACCTTTGCAACACATTTGATTCCTGGTAAAGGGGTTTCCTCACGACCCATGCCCTGAATCTCACCCAAGTTACAAGGCCTATACCCCCCGCTGACCTGAAGTTGCCTCCTTCTGCATAAGCAAATCTTCCTGCTGCCTAAAAGCCCGGGCCTTTCTGGTCCCCTCGGCCTTCCGGGCTTCTCCTCCCGGGGTCTCTAAGATGGATCTCCCTCCTCTGAAGTCTTGGCTTTGCTCTCTCTCCTCTCTTGGCTTCTCTTCCTCCGTTCTCTCCACCGCCCCTAAAAATTCAGCTCTGCTCCGACTCTGTGAAGTCCTCACGGGCTCCTACCTGCTTCTCCCAGACACTCGACTGTCACCAGCAGCTAAACTTCACTCCTCATTCAAGCATCTTGCCAGCCTCCACGCCTGCACGTCCCACACCCGGAAAGGATCCCGCAGTAACTCCAGGCTGAGTTTCCCAAGAACCTTCACTTCCACAGGTCTCAGGTTCTAAGGATCAAATAATGAAAACCTGACAACACCTGTGAATTGAGAGGCGTTACTCAGGCTCCTGGACTCATCAGAAACACCTGGGAAATTCCGTGTTAAATGCCCCTTAGAACCAGAGACACAGGCAGTGTGACAGCACTGTGCCCTCTGACAGGTTACACAACTCAATGTGACCAAGAGCAATTCAATTTCGACCTCATGCTCTGCCTACAGCAAGTGGGGAATCTCTTCTAAGTTTCTGCTTGTTTTGTTGGGAAGGGGGGTTGTTTGTTTTTCCTTTCAGTTCTCACCCCAGCCCATGTGCAATGATCCAGGGACCACTACCACCTCATGGGCCTGAAGGCTCATCTACTGCCTTCTGACATAAGGTTTCCTGCAGCACAAGTTCCAGTCTGTCCCTCTGCTTTGCCAAAGACAGATCCGCCTACTGGCTATTCTTTGCTGTAAAGACAACTGTGCTCTGAGACAATCAGTTTATTCTTAGGGGAAAACAATTAATTTCAACCGTCACATGTGTTCCCCAACAGCCACTGATTCACATCAGCTCATCCTCTGATATCTGGCTTACACAAAAACACAAAGACTTGCCAGATGACAACTGAATGAACGTGATGTATGTAACAAGATCTGTACTCTGTTGCTTCACTTCCTCTTTTTTTTTTAAGACAGTGAAACCTTTATAAGGAAGATTAATCCTTCCCTTGGTCTTTAAGGACCATTCTCTCCTGACAACCACTTAGCTGAATCCCCCAAACCTAACTTGAAAAAACAACAATCGCACACTTTCAAGCAAGTTGTTCCTGGGGACTTTAGAAATCTACAACACCTACAACCGAAGAGGTCAGTTTTATGGGGACATTTGGACAAAACTCGCCTGTTCACTGGCTAGAGCAAACCTCTAGAGCAAACCTCTCAGCTAATCCTACATGTAAGTTTTCAGCAGTATACATTTTGGAATCTTCTCTGTGCCCCAGAACACACAATATGGATCTAATTAGGCCCAGCTGCTTTACGTTAGTAATAAAATTGAAAGAAAAAGAGAGAGAGAAGTGGAGGTCGGTGGCTTTGTTCGTCCCCTCCTATGCCCGGAGATGGCCAGGCCGGTGCATCCCCAACGCTGACTCCAGGCAAAACACGCTCCTTAAATACCCCAGCGAGCCTGGTACCCTGCTCAGCGCTGAAACTTTTCAGCTGCTGAGTTTTCACCCGCTGGAAGAGATTTACTGAGCGGCTGGAGCCCAGCGCCCTGACCCCACCCCCGCGGCCCCGGCGCGCCCCGCCCGCCCCTCGGCTCCCGGGACTTACACGAGCGCGGACGGACAGGGCATCTGGTTCCAGGCACAGTTGTACTGAGCCTGAATAAAACTCTCACTTCCTTCCAGCACCGAGCAGCTCACGTTCTTGTTCACGATGTAGGCGCACCAGTTCCTGGGGTGGAGAGAGAGGGAGAAGGGCACGGTATAAACCGGGAGAACAATGAGGCTGGGGGAGACGGGACGAGCCGACCCGGCGGCTGACCGCGCGGGGCTCGGGGAGCTCGTCGTCCTCGCGGAGGCGGGAGCACGACCAGCAGATATTCGGACGGTGCGCGGGTGCGCCTTTGGAGAGAGTGCACCTTTATCCCACAAAAGACAGACGGGAAGAGCCCCCACGGCCCCAGGGGCCCCAGTAATTCCCGGGGGGAGTTTCCTGATCGCCCTGCTCTGCGGGACACTCCCTGCGCCCCACGGCCCCGGAGGCAGCACTGCTGGAGGCTAGGGCGAGGTTGCCCGGGACGCCCCGCGCCGGCCACGGAGCGCGCGGCCACCGCGGAAGAGGCGCCGCCCCGGCAGCCCGAGGGGGAACCCCGGCTGCAGCTCCTCGCCTCGGCAGGGCAGCTTCGGGGCCGGCGGCCGGTCGGGGAAGGGCAGGCGGGGGCCCACGGCTGTGGGCCGTCCTGGGGCAAGGAGAGGCCGCGCACTTACTTGTTCCTGGCGCTGGGCCGCGCGGGGTGCCTGGGCTGAGGGTCGGCGTGGCACAGCCCTGCGCCGCCCAGGGCCAGCAGCGCCAGAGCCCAGAGCCAGGGCGCGCGGGGCCGGGGCCGTGTCCGCTGCCACATTCTGTGCGCGGCGGGCGCGACCAGCCGGCCGGATCCGGAGCGCGGGTCGGGCGAGCGCCGGGAGGTTGCGGGCTGCCCGGGCGCGGCCGAAGGCAGGAGGCTCGGGCGCTGCGCGGCGCCCCCACCCGCGCTCCGCGGCCGCCCCCTGCGGCTTCTCGCTCCCACTTCTCCTTTTCCGCCCCGTGCTCCCGCGCTTCTCCCCCTCAGTGACGCACAGGTCCCCCCGGGTGCCGCCCTCTTTATTTCACTTCCCTCTCCGGAACGTGACTCTCGCTCCACCACGTCTGTCTCCAGTCCTCTTGCTTCTCGGCAGGGGGTTGTGGGGCGTGAAAGGGCTGTAGGGTTTGGGAGAAGGGTCTCTGTTACAGAATTTCCAATTACTCATTCCTTTGGTCTCATCCCAGGAGCGGGGCAACTCCGCCTCCCACCTTCCAGCAGGCGCGCCCGGCCCCTCGGGAAGGGCCGCCGTCAGCGAGTCTGGCGGTCCACACGTCGGGCCTGGGTGCCGGCTTCCCAGGGCGAAGGAGGAACATCTTTATCAGTCCTTTATCGGATTCCGATTTCCTCCTCTGGCAAGACGCGGCCATTCCTCCGCATTTGAACTTGAGAGTTTAGGGGAAATGAACGCGGGTCCCCTTCTCTTTCTTTCCCTTACGCATCCATTAAATAGTTTCTAAGTCAACGTGCGGGGCAGCAGGGGACACTGGAAGCGACAGCCCCACAACTTCCCAGCAGATTCTGAAGCACAGCATCCGGCTCTAGTATACAGATCATCTCTCGCAGCCTCTGCTTCTGATGTCCTATTCTGAACTTTCTTTTTCTATCAATATTAAAGACATTTACCCCACAACAATCGCCTTTGCTTCTAGACAGTTCAGACACTGCTAGACATTTGTCGTTTCACTTGCTTGCATATTTTCTGCCTTTTTTGGGGGGCAGTTTTCAATCCTGTTATTTAATATGATTATATAATGAGCCATAATTATAATTTACCATAGATCTTAAATTTTCCTTTAAAAATACTACTTAATGGCTGTATAATATTCCATTTTATTTCTGCCTATTTTTGAGTTACACTAATCTCTACCAATTTCTTTTGGGGATGAAGCAACTCTGCAGAAGCATGTTACATAAAATCCCCACTGGAGTGTTGTGTTCTTGGGGTGAGGAGAGAACTAAATATTGATATTTGAGTTAACTTACTGCATCTAATGAACCAGAGTGGGGTTATGTGTAGACTGCATAGATTAACTGCAATATCTGTGAGTTGACGGGACATTGTTGGCTGTGAATTGTGATGTGGACCATAATAACACTCTGCTATGTTCCCTACTGTAACTAGATGAAACTAGTGGTCCATTTTACTTGATATGCTTTGATGATGTTGTAGGGCCTTTTGATTTGCAAATAGAAGAAAATTCCCTAAGTAGAAACTTCACAAGAGCGAAGCAGAAAAATATACCACGTAAGGACCTAGTCTGTCCATGAACTCTCTAAGTGGAAGATCACGCAAATAATGGACTGATGTCATCCCAGCCTTTGAAAGAGCCACCCTGAGGGGGAAGGAACAGAAAGGGATAAAAAGCTGTCTTGCATAACCCTATGTCTGTCTTTCTGCGTGGCTTCCCTATCCTTCCCATCCTAACACCATTTTTGTCCATGAAGTGTCTTAGGGAAGAAGCAGAGCACAGAAATGAAGGAGAGGGACAGAAGGGGAAAAATGGAGGAAACACACAAGTTGTGTATGTCTACAGCTGACAGCTAACAAACCACAACTTCTCTTAAATACTGGTAATTCTCAAACTTGAGAGTGGGTCAGACTGATCAAATCACATCTAGTTTTTTCATTGACTCAAAGTTATACCGGGAAGCTGTCTTCCAGTCCAAGAGTTGGAGGACCAACTTTTTATTGAGATGACCACGACACCAAATTTAATCAGCTATAAATGGCATTTATCAGTAAATAAATGTTATTCTGAGAATCTGTTACGTGTGAGGCACCTTGCAAAAATAGTAAGTCATGGGTGAGTGAACACGGACGGGGGGCTGTGTTTACAGAGCTCCCAGGCCTTCCTGTGCAACGAACCATGTGACGTTTCTGATGTGCAGTCAGATAAGTTAGACAATATTTGTCCCATGCATCTCTCTAGACACATCTCCACGGGTACCCACTGTGGGGCTGCTCTGGGAAGATGGAAGACTTGAGGCCAAGATCTCAAAAGACCCTTTTCTTTTTTTCTTCTCTAGCCAGAGGAAGGGACCCTTCAGACTCAGGAAACAGAGAGACTTCCAGAAGCAGCAAAGCAGGAGAGGCTTCCTGGGGAGAGGGTGGAAGCACCTCAAGAAACAGTCTAACTGGGCAGATCATCTGGTCCCCGTCATAAGCAACAGAGTGGAAATGATGGGCAGAATGCTGCACGTGTGCATTCTTTGTAAGCCGCCAACTTCCTCAGATAAGCACTTGAAAGCTGTCAGTTTCCTGTAACAATCCAAAGTAATTTCTTTCTCTTTTAAAACAAACATGCCCCATAGTGACTTATATTCTTGATTGTGTCACCAACTTACAGAACCGAACTTGGGTCTGCTCTCCCCATGAGCAGCAAAGCCAATCTACTGATACCGGGTTGTGGTGAAGGAAAGTACAGCATTTATTGCAGGGCACCAAGCAAGGAAAACAGGCAGCTCATGCTCAAAAGACTCGAACTCCCCTTTGGCTTTCAGGGAAGGGTTTTAAAGGCAACATCTGGGGTGAGGGTCGCAGGATGTGTGATCAGCTCGTGGACTTTCTTTTGATTGGCTGGTGGGGAGGTAACAGAGTGATGTGGCAGGACCCTTAAGCATCAGTCCTCTGGTTCCACGTGCTTATGGTCAGCATCCTCCACCTGGGTGGGGGGGGGTGTCTTAGTTCCTGCAGAACAACTCAAAAATATGCGTCAGATTGTTGTGTACATCCCTTGAGGAGGAACTAGGACTCTGTTTTATTGCTCAACTGTTGTTTAAGCTACCATTACTTTTCTTGCTTGACTGCTTTTCCTTTGTTTCTGCATTCCCTCACTTCTCTAATTAGTAACTGCTTGAGTCTGCTCTTTGGAACGCAGGCAAGGCCTGAGAGACTAAAGCCTTTTTCTCTACAAAGAAGAAACAGGGAACACAGAGGGGCTTTTGTACCCAGGGAGGAATCACAGGGTCCTGCTAGGTTACAATCTCCACTTCTTTTTTTTTTTCTCTTTTTTTTTTTTTTTTTTGCGGTACGCAGGCCTCTCACTGTTGTGGCCTCTCCCGTTGTGGAGCACAGGCTCCAGAGCACAGGCTCAGCGGCCATGGCTCACGGGCCCAGCCGCTCCGCGGCATGTGGGATCTTCCCGGACCGGGGCACGAACTCATGTCCCCTGCATCGGCAGGCGGACTCTCAACCACTGTGCCACCAGGGAAGCCCCTTTTTTTCTTTTTTTTTAAATAAATTTATTTATTTTATTTATTTATTTTTGGCTGTGTTGGGTCTTCGTTGCTGGGCACGGGCTTTCTCTAGTTGTGGCGAGTGGGGGCTACTCTCCGTTGAGGTGCATGGGCTTCTCATTGAGGTGGCTTCTCTTGTTGCAGAGCACAGGCTCTAGGCACGCAGGCTTCAGTGGTTGTGGCACATGGGATCAGTAGTTCTGGCTCGCGGGCTCTAGAGCGCAGGCTCAGTAGTTGTGGCGCATGGGCTTAGTTGCTCCGCGGCATGTGGGATCTTCCCGGACCAGGGCTCGAACCTGTGTCCCCTGCATTGGCAGGCGGATTCTTAACCACTGCGCCACCAAGGAAGCCCTCCACTTTTCTTGATATGCCTCAGTCCTGAGGGGAACAGGGGCTGGACAAGAAAGGGAATAAGGTTTTGTTTATTTATTTTTGGCTGCACGCGGGCTTTCTCTAGTTGCGGTGAGCGGGGGCTACTCTTCGTTGCGGTGCGCGGGTTTCTCATTGCAGTGGCTTCTCTTGTTGCGGAGCACGGGCTCTAGGCACGCAGGCTTCAGTAGTTGTGGCACACGGGCTCAGTAGTTGTGGTTCGCAGGCTCTAGAGTGCAGGCTTAGTAGTTGTGGTGCATGGGCTTAGTTGCTCCGTGGCATGTGGGATCCTCCCGGATCAGAGCTCGAACCTGTGTCCCCTGCATTGGCAGGTGGATTCCTAACCACTGCACCACCAGGGAAGTCGCAAGAAAGGGAATAAGATTTCGGATAGAGAGGATAATCATAAACTCAGTAGGGGAATTCGGATTTAGGGGGACTCAGTCCCATTAACTAAAGCAAAAATGCAAAGTAGAACTATTTCATAAAATCCATTCCTTCACTATTGGTCATGATAAAAGAGCTCATCAGGCTCTGTACTTGGGGGGTACTTCTCGTGAAGCAGTGAGCCTGCTGGACCCCTACCACACCCAGACTCCCTTCAGTTGCCTGGAGGAGGAGAGTGGGTGACCATTACAGAGGCAGCAGGCGGGTTCATTGCCTCCACCCCACCACCAGTCATCTGGGCACAAGACATTTGATCAAGATGAACTGATCTGCATCTAGGATGTGGTCAAGAGTCATATGACTTGGCCTGGGTGTCCCAACCTACTCATTCCTCATCTTTTGTTTTCTAGAACTCAAAAAAAGTCTCCCCTGATTTCTAGCTGTAATTTTAGGTGTCTTAACTTCTTTGTGCTGTTTACTAATGATGAAAAACGGAAGTCCTTGAAGATAAGATATCTTGCATAAATTTTGATTGCAAAGCATTTCTAACATAATACACCCTCAGAAAATGTCTTACACATTCTTAAGTTAGTGATCTTTGTTTATTTGTTTTTGTTTTTTTAAGTGCGGTTGGGTAGGGAAGGAGAGACAGAAATGCCTCCAAGGAAAATGAACTGGCTGCACCAGGTAGCTTGGTCTCTGCTTTGGAACGCCAAGATTTGGTTGATACAATTTTGTGTAGCTCCATTCGCCATAGGCACAGCATTTGACAAGGCACCTTTGGAAAGAAGTCAGTGAGTCCCCAGACTTCAAAATTTACAAACAAGGGCTACTTTCCCATCTTGTCAAAGGCTTTGCTCAAATAGACCCAAACTGAACAAAGAACAGTCGCTCTCTTCATTTTTTCCTAACTGTATATTTGCAAATATCCCATCAGCTATACAGAGCTAAAGATTCAAAGTCTCTTTATCTTCTGAACCCAAGACTGATCTTATTTATCAATTGATTGATTTAATAGCATTGTGAAAGATGATGGCCATTATGTTAATCATCTTTCATGAGAGATGCCAGGAGCATACCTCCCTTTATGGGTCAGGGGTGTGTGCCTTAATACATGCTAAACTATCATCTGAGACCTTCAAAACTGCGAAAAGTTGAAATTATGCCTGAAATCACACATGAAAAAAAATGTTTAGGAGCTCATGCAATGGACTTAGCATACTGTTCAAAACTGGGTACCCTCACCTCCTGAGCAGAACGACGGGGACAAATCAAAAGCCTCCCAATCCTCCATTTCCTCTTCTGGAAAGGGGATGTCTCATGTAGCTGTTGGGAGGGTGCATTGTGTTACCACAGGTACACTGTTTAGCACAGTGCCTGGCACAGGGTAAGTGGAGGATAAATTTTCACAACTGTTATTGTTACCACTTTGGTACTGCAAAAAATTTGCAGTCAGGTCCAGGAGCTTTGTCATCTTTTTGTTGTGTCCACTGATGTGGGAAGCTGACCATCTGCTGCAGTTCTTCTTTCCAAATAAGAAATATATATCAAGAGAGCACGTGCACAACTCAATCAGAATGACTCTAAGTGTGGTCGTCGGGAACAGAACACTGGGTTCTTGACTTCTAGCTCAGTTTTCTTTCTACTGCTCTCCAAGAGAAAACGTATAGCTCAGCTGATTGTTTAGGAGATTTCATCCTCTACATTGCAAAGGAATTTATTTTAGGACAATTCAATGAAATCTTTGGGAGGATTAATAACTCTACAAAAATAAACTCAGATCATCAGGCAATTCGATAATAAGTTTCTTCTTCTTCCTCAAACAGATGAAACTAGTAACTAATTCCATTTCCTTTAATTTTTTTCAGATGTTGCTTAGATCTAAAAATGCTTCCTATAGCTAACTGTGGGCCATATACTGCATTTGAGAATTCAGTGCTGTCACACTGATGGTGTGGTTTTGAACACATTTTTTTCTTCATAAGAAATATGGCAAAAATAGGCTCTTAGAATTTTGTTTGTTTCCAAGAGAATTATAATAGCTTAGGCAATAATGCTTTCATATATATGAGTCACATCAAACTATGTTGTATAGTTCATGATTTATTTATGGAATGAGAGTCAATTGTTCTGGAAACAACAGAGTATTTTAAATAGGCAGAATGTGTTTGATGATTGTAAAATAAATTGTTAAAGTTTAGGACAATCTTGGTCCATACTCATTAGAATAGTATTCATGAGCAAATGAACTCTTTCTAGTATTTCAGGTTGTGCAGTTCTAAACCATGTTTCAAGTATTTAAGTATAGTCAGCTCTCATTATTTGGTGTCGTATGTTCTATTAAGTTGCTGCAAACACTGAATTCATGAATACTGAACAATTGCTTGCAGAGGAAATACAGGAGTAAGAAGCCTCTGGTCAAAATGTTTTTGTCAACCAATCAATACATAACCTTCTTTTCTGTGTGTTTCTATTTAAAGACACCTTGTTTGATATTTATTATTGATTCATTGACAGTGAACTCACAGCCAACCCCACTATAACTTGTGCCTGAACTAAGCTTATCTCAAACACATGTTTTCTCCATAAGGCACATCACAGCCTTCTTGCGCTAAGGAACACAAGACAGCGCTTCAGCACTGCGCTTGGGGGCCATTTTAAACAACGAAATCACCAAAAAAAAGCACAAAAATGCAAAAAGCATAGAATTCAATTTTCCATGAAAAGGACACTTCTTTACAGTATGAGACCTAAAACAAGAAGGCAGAGCACTGCCTTGCTAGACCTCAGCTGGAAATGTGCACAGTTGGGCAAGTCAACATTTTTGCCACTCTGCTCAGGTCCACCGATGGCCACGAAAGTGCTCTAAGTATTGCTTTCGTAGTTAAAAATAAATTCCGTGAAGAGGCAACTTCACAAAATATAGAATCTGTGAATAATAAAGATTGACTGTATTTCAACTTAAGTCTGGGAACAGTAAGAAAATATTACATCTAGGAGGAAAAGGCAAAGTTCTTGGAATTTTGTGGCCATCAAAAGATTTGTTTCATCAGTAAGCATATTGAGGAAGTTCTGCGTATGGAACACTGCCAGGCAATATGTGAGCCAGAGAAAAAAAGATTTAGTTCTTTACCATCTTAATTGGCTGGAAAGCAAAACACACATGTATGAAATGACCTAACACATACAAAGTTACATTCAGTAAATAAAATATTGCATAGTAAAAACAGTGTACCTAGGTTATGATAAAGAAACAGAGCCTGAGGCAATCAGAAAAGTTCAGTATTAATTAGGAAAGACCGTGGAGAAGTGTGGGTTTGAGTTGAGTATTTCATTTTTTGTTTTGTTTTGCTTTGCTTTAAATCAGCTATAATATCAAAACCGAATGTGATTTGCAAGAGAGGAAGGAGCAATTAATGTGACCTTGTACACTGTATGTGTTTAGTAAATAAAGACATGGGCCAGCTTGTAGATTAGCTAAGCCAAAGTGTGTGGCCTTAGAAGTAGCCAGGAGGTTGCAGCAACATGAATGGACCTAGAGAGTATCAAACTAAGTGAAGTCAGTCAGACAGAGAAAGACAAATATATCACTTATATGTGGAATGTAAAAAAAAAAAAATGATACAAATGAATTTACTTGCAAAACAGAAACAGACTCACAGAGATAGAAAACAAACTTATGGTTACCAAAGGGGAAAGGGAGGAGAGGGATAAACTGGGAAATTGGGATTAACAGATACACACTATTATACATAAAATAGATAAACAAGGACCTACTGTAGAGCACAGGGAACCATATTCAATATCTTATAATAACTATAATGGAGAAGAATCTGAAAAAGAATATATATTTTTTATTTATATATATGTATAACTAAATCACTTTGCTGTACACTTGAAGCATTGTAAATCAACTATATTTCAATTTAAACAATTTAATTAAGTTAAAAGAAAAAGTAGCCAGGAGATAGGTGAGGTGGGGAGGCCAGTTGGGATTGAGGGGTAATGAACACGAGGAAAGGGTGAGGATGTGTCACTGTTAAAAAGTACAATATAGGTTGGTAGAAAAAACAAACAAACCTCTAGTTCTTTTTTCCCCTCATCTAAAGAGAGGTAGGGTGACCAGATGTCCCTGATTTGCCCAAGCCAGTCCCAGGGTACTCCTGTTGTGGATCAGTTGACACTGTTAATTATCCTTAGTGTCTCCTTTCATCTTCCAAAGTGCCTGGGTTTGGACAATAAATTATATGGTCACTCTAAGGACCTAAAATGAACTGAAAATCACAACTCTTTTAACACCAATATAGTGTTTATAAAAACTGAATGAAACATTAGTAAATATCAATGCAAATGACAAAATCAGAAAATAGGAATGAATTGGACTGCTGTAAGTCATAATTTTACTCAGGGCAAGTGCTTCTGTTCTGTTATTGCCTCATGCAGTTTATTTATTTATTTATTTATTGGCTGCGTTTGGTCTTCGTTGCTGTGCCTGGGCTTTCTCTAGTTGTGGCGAGCAGGGGCTACTCTTCATGGCGGTGTGCGGACTTCTCATTGTGGTGGCTTCTCTTTGTTGCGGGGCACAGGCTCAAGGCACGCGGGCTTCAGTAGTTGTGGCTCGCGGGCTCTAGAGAGCAGGCTCTGTAGTTGTGGCGCATGGGCTTAGTTGCTCCGCGGCACGTAGGATCTTCCTGGGCCAGGGCTCAAACCCGTGTCCTCTGCATTGGCAGGTGGAATCTTAACCACTGCGCCACCAGGGAAGTCCCTGCCTCATGCATTTTGGTGACGTATTATATTTTAGAAAGTTGATTAGGCACTGGAGACTTGGTTTGTTTAGTTGGTTGTTGATGAAGCTGATTATTTTTTATTTATTTATTTATTTATATTTTTTTGCGGTACGCAGGCCTCTCACTGTTGTGGCCTCTCCCGTTGCAGAGCACAGGCTCCGGACACGCAGTCTCAGCGGCCATGGCTCACGGGCCCAGCCGCTCCGCGGCACGTGGGATCTTCCCGGACCAGGACACGAACCCGTGTCCCCTGCATCGGCAGGTGGACTCTCAACCACTGTGCCACCAGGGAAGCCCATGAAGCTGGTTATTTGCATGAACTTTCCTTGGCTCTGTCTTCTCAGACGTAATCATTTTAAACGTCATCCCCAAGAGCTACGGAAGAAGAACACAGTGCCGTGGCTACATTCTGCTTAAATGCTCCGGCCCAGCCACAGCTCCTTTAAATAGTGCAGAGCAGGGAAGACCCTACTCAACAGCGGCTCACAATCTAAACCCGCTAACATCTTTGAACACTTATTGGTTGAAGAGACTAAAACAACATAAATAATCAGCCATGAGCAGATAAAAGTTGCTAATGTCTTTTGACTAACGGTAACTACAATGTGAGACCAGAGTTTCACATTCAGAGAATGTTGAGGGGTCAAGGAAGAAAACTGCCTTCGTTTTTTATTGCATTCTCACATGTTTTTCCCCATCTTTTAAAAATATCAAAACAAACTACGGGACTTCCCTGCTGGTCCAGTGGTTAAGACTCCGCGCTCCCAATACAGGGAGCCTGGGTTTGATCCCTGGTCGGGGAACTAGATCCGGCATGCCGCAAATAAAGATCCCGCACTCTGCAACAAGATCCTGCATGCAGCAACAAAGACCCCGCATGCCGTAACTAAGAGCCGGCGCAGCCAAACAAACAAATAATAACATCTAATTAAAAAAACAAAACTTTCTTCTCTGAGTATTCTGAGGTTATGCTTTCCAAAGCGCTGTTGGGGGCAAAGTGGTGTCAGGATTCCTGGGAGAAATAGGAAGGACATTAGAAAACGGGCACCAGAATTCAGTTCCTATGTTTTTCAACCCTGAAAGAATCTTCACGTTCCTGCTGGGGATTCCAATTTCATAAAGGTTTTTAAAAAATAAATATTTGTAGATTGTGGTTTTCTAATGTAAATTTTATCAAAGGATAGCATTCTTGCCAACAAGTGCATAAAATGTGATAAGCTCACTGAATTTTTCACAAAGCGAAGGCAGCCGTGTGAGCAGCACCCAGATCCTGAAGCAAAACATGCCTTCAGGGCCCCTCACAGTCCCTGCAATCATTAACCCTCCCTTCCCCACAGTCACATCAATTCTGACCTCCAACACCATCACTTAAAGATTTGTTGAAGAAAAACTATTGATTTGTCTTATTTTGTCCATAATAACTGGCACAGTGCTTGGCACATAATACTTGTTTAATAACTTGTTTAATACTTGTTGAATGAGTGAAAGAAAGCAAACGGGTGTCTAACTTTTACAAGACAGTGGATCAAATTAACATACATAATATACTAGGGGGAAAGGGGCATTACACTGGGTGAGAACTGGGATCTGGGGATGCTAACTTGGACAAAAGTTGAAAACTCAAACTTCGAACAGAAGAGTACATTTTAGTTTTATCTTTTAACAAATGTAAACAATTTGAATAAATCTAATCCTCTGCAATTTTCCTTGGGCTTTAATCAACTCCGCTCACATCACATCCACTGTAACTGGTGAGGCCAACCTCCAGAGATCTTGTTTCTCTTTCTCATTTGTAAATGGACCCATGCAGCCAAGAAATGACTATTTTCAGCCCTTCTCCACCCCACTCTGAGGCCCAGTCAGTCAGAAAACAAAATAAGAGTCACCCTCTTCCTCAGCCAAAGCATGTGATCTCTGGCCAGAGCCCTTCCCGCCCTAATGAATGAGGTAATGAGGGGCCAAATAAGGTTTCATATGTATGTCGCCTCAGAATTACAGTTTATCTTCACTGTGCTTTTAAAAAGCTGGAATTAAGAACCTAGCGCTGCCAAATCACAGCTTAGAGAGATCTGTCAACTCTAGAGATAACAAATAAAAGGAAAACCCATTTCAAGCTTTGAACTGCTGCTCCTAGATGATTCCCAGGGAAACACAAATAAATTGTCTTCAGAGGACAGATTCATTATGAAAAACCTCATTAAGTTGGGGTTTTAAATATTTCTTTAAGATACTTCCAACCTTTAAAGGAAGCAAGTCTGGAAATGGAAACTATTTTGCTTAGAGGATGAAACCCTCCAATTTACACCACCCCCCCGCCCCCGAAACATGTCATGCTTTATCATAGATGAACCTTCAAAGGCAAGGTGCAGAGATAAAGGCCAGACTGGAGAAACACACAAATCCACCAAATCCATTTAGTCTACATTAAAACTAGCCTTCAAAAACAGGAGTGTTTGATCCAGAAACAAATCTAATTTGCCTGAGGAGGAAGAGCAGGTCTTTTCCCTTTTTTACTTTTTTTCTAGTTATGTTTGATTGGAGGCCCGTAAGCAAGTATAATCTTTGCATAAACTGTTCTCTGTGTGGAATTTTCTGCACGCCTGGAGAACTTCACCTATGAGACCCTGGCAGTCATTCGTTCTCTGAAGCTTTCCAGGTGCCTCCAAGCCCTCTCACATGTTGCAACATATAACTGATAAAGAATTGATAGAGGAATTGATTTAACAAATGAACAAATCAACAAGAAAAAGAATCCAGGGACTTCCCTGGTGGCGCAATGGTTGAGAATCCGCCTGCAACTGCAGGGGACACAGGTTCGAGCCCTGGTCTGGGAAGATCCCACGTGCCGTGAAGCAACTAAGCCCGTGCGCCACAACTACTGAGCCTGCAGTCTAGAGCCCGCGAGCCACAACTACTGAAGCCTGTGCACCTAAGAGCCCGAGATTTGCAACAAGAGAAGCCACCGCAATGAGAAGCCCATGCACCACAAGGAAAAGTAGCCCCCACTCACGGCATCTAGAGAAAGTCCACGCGCAGCAATGAAGACCCAACAACGAAGACCCAATGCAGCCAAAAATAAATAAATGAATTTTTAAAAATAATAAATAAGTTCCCTCTGAGGAAGTGACATTTAAAAAAAAAAAAAGAAAAAGAATCCAATAGAAAAATGGGCAATCTGCCCTTCACAGAAGAGGAAACGCAAACGGCCAATGAAAAATATGTTCAGCCTCATTAATAATCATGGACGTGCAGAGTAATACCTAAGTAATTAATTAATATCTAATGCAAATAGATACCACTATGTACTACCAGATTAAAATTTAAAAGCCTGACAATACCAAGTGCTAGTGTGAATGAGGAGAGAAACTCTCCCTCACTGCTAATGGGAGTGTAAGCTGGTACAACTGCTTTGGAAAACAGTTCTGGCGCTTCCCTTGTAGCGCAGTGGTTAAGAATCCTCCTGCCAATGCAGGGGACATGGGTTCGAGCCCCGGTCTGGGATGATGCCACATGCTGCGGAGCAGCTAAGCCCGTGCACCACAACTGCTGAGCCTGCACTCTACAGCCTGTGAGCCACAACTACTGAAGCCCACATGCCACAGCTACTGAAGCCTGCGCGTCTAGAGGCCGTGCTCCGCAACAAGAAAAGCCACCGCAATGAGAAGCCTGAGCACACAATGAAGAGTAGCCCCCGCTTGCCGCAACTAGAGAAAGTCCATGCGCAGCAACAAAGACCCAATGCAGCCAAAAATCAATCAACCAATCAATTAAAAAAAAAAACAGTTCTGCACTACTTTTTACATTTGAACAGTCACGTACCCTAAAAGCCATCAACTGCACCCCTAGATGCATAACCTAGAGATGGATGAAAAAATTGGGGCTGCCAAGGGGAGAGCCTCAACACTATTCTTTTCATCTCAACAAGCCCAGAGTAAGCAGCAAACCCTATGCCATAGTGATGGTTCTATCTCTGTGCACAATTACTATTGTTCTTTTCAATGAATTAAAACAGTTTCACAGAGTTGTGATTAGAAATAATGGAATATGTTTAGCCCAGTTTCTAGGAATTTGTCTATTTCATCTAGGTTATCCAACTTTTTGGCATACTTTTTGGTTCATAGCAGTCTCTTATAACCCCTTTTATTTCTCTAGAATCATTAGTAAAGTCCTCACTTTCATTTCTGATATTAGTAATTTGTGTCTTTCTGTTTTCTGTAGTCCATCTAGCTAAAGATTGTCAATTTTGAACCAATTTTTGATATTAATTTTCTCTTTTTTTATACTCTATTTTACTTATCTCTACTCTGGTCGTTATCATTTCCTTCCTTCTACTAGCTTTGGGTTTCATTTGTTCTTTTTCTAGATCTTCAAGTTGTAAAGCAAGAGTGTTGATTTCAATCTTCTTATTTTTTAATATGAGCATTTATAGCTATAAATTTCCCACCTCAGCAGTGCTTTCATTGTGTTCCATGTTTTGGAATATTATGTTTTCATTTTCATTAGTCTCTAAGTATTTTCTGATTTCCCTTGTGATTTTTTCCTTGATTCATTGGTTGTTTAAAAATGTGTTGTTCAATTTACACAAATTTATGAATTTTTAGTCTTCTATTTCATTTATTTTTAAAATTGAAATATAATTCACATACTATACAACTGACCCATTTAAAGTTTACAATGCAGTCGGTTTAGTACATTTACAACCATGTGCAACAATCACCACAGTCATTTTTGGAACCTTTTTTTTTTTACGGTACGCAGGCCTCTCACTGTTGTAGCCTCTCCCATTGCGGAGCACAGGTTCCGGACGCGCGGGCTCAGGGGCCATGGCTCACGGGCCCAGCCGCTCCACGGCATGCGGGATCTTCCCGGACTGGATCACGAACCCATGTCCCCTGCATCAGCATATGGACTCCCAACCACTGTGCCACCAGGGAAGCCCTGGAACCTTTTTATCATCTCACGTAGAAACCCTATATTCCTTAGCTATCACCTCTGGTAGTAGTTTCCTAGGGAAACTTTGCCATTATAAAGTACCAAAAGCCAGGTGGCTTGAAACAACATAAATTGTCTCGGTTTTGGAGGCTACAAGTCTGAAATAAAGGTTTTGGCAGTGCCATGCTCTAAGAATCTTCTGTTTTAGTCTCCTTAGGCTGCTATAAGAGAATACCAG